CCGGACATCTTGTCCCTGCCAACACAGTCCGGACAGTCCGGTGTCCAGAACACCGGACAGTCCGGACTGGTCCAGACACAGGTCCGGGAAACAGTCCGGAAGTGTCCGGTGTCCGGGTCCGCGGTTACCATGAAGACACCCCCATTTTGTTTCTTTTTTTCGTGCTTTTAATTGCTAAAAATGGAGTTGTCCGTGCCCGGACGTCCGGGACCCCCCTGACTGTCCGCCCAGGACTTCCTGCCATCGGACAACTGGTAACATAGCCCTGGGCCTAAATCAAGAAATTGTACGACTTCTTCTTTTCTTTTCATGCTAATTTTCTCTGTATCCTTCCATTTTAATGGATGTCCGAAGGACAGTTGTTCGACTTTTGTCCTTAAACCCCCACCACTGCCTTTCGCAGTGTGGGGAAGAGTGGGAATTTATTTAGCGTATACAGCATATTTTGGCGGCTGGGCCAACCGGCGCCCGCTTGATACATTTCATAAGCAGGCGCTGTTTCGTTTCAGCCTCCGAAATGTGTGGGGACCCACCCCGCGGCCGATACGAGGGAAACGTAGTGGTCCTCCAATACAAACGGAAAACCACACATGCTCATTGTGACTGTATTGGACTGAAAACATTCCCTTGTATGCATTCGTTGATAGAGCGCACCCGTTACCCGTTCCTTGACTTCGTTCAAGCCACGCGTCCACTAACATGCACAAGCAAGTTTTGTACACAGTCATATCCAGTAAGATCATGGTTCACAGCACCAGATGGTTTTTCAACACGTTTTTCGCTTGTTGCTTAGGGCAGCAAGGTGCCCAAGTTCCCTGCTTGTTTCTCCTTGTTTCATTTCATCAGCTATTACGATGCGAGTCTGCTACTGCAGTTTTGTGGGGACATCCAACCAAGTTTGATTCACTCTCAGGGCATACTCTGAAACGGTTTTCACCTTTCTGCAGTCACAGATGCGAGCCCTAGAGTTCGACCCCCAGACCTCACTTTGCCCATGTACGGTATTGAGTCGACCCCCGAGTGTTTGAACCCGTGATCAGTGTTTTGGTAGTTGTTTGTCGTCTGTCGTAGGTCTGTGTAGCGGTAGGGGGTTGATCTGTAGGTCTGTCGATTAGGAGCCACAGCTCTGTAGAGGTCGTGGCTGTAGATGCTCTGAAAGGTCAAGGTCGTAGCTGCTACAGTCCTGAAAGGTCAAGGTCGTAGCTGCTACAGTAGCCGAGAGGCCGGAAGGTCCGGAAGTGGCCTTTCGAAGTGTCTCACGTTTAGTCAGAGGCAAGTGGGCATGTGGTGAGCCTTTAGTCAGAGGCAAGTGGGCAAGTGGTGAGCCAACTGCGTTACGTCGGCAGTGCGACTGCATCGAGTTGGCAGTGCAAACCCATGCAGTCAGCGGCACCGGTCCCAGTCAGTCAGAGTCCAGTCAAGCAAGTACCGTGTGGGACTGTGTGCACCAAGGGCCTGGAAAAGGGGCAGACCAACGAGTTACAGAAGTATAAGTCAAGAGGCAGCGCCAGCCATTCATTCATTCACTGCGTAAGCCATGCGGAAGTGCTGCTACAGCGTCTTGTGCGAAGGTGGTCTGCAGGTTGCCCGGCGTCGAAGTGGGCTGAAGAGAGAGTGTAGCCATAGCCAGTAGTGGTAGTGCGGCCATAGCCGCTGTAGGAGGAAGTTAGACATCGTGTGTGTGTGTGGTGGTATTCAGGGTGATCCAGAGTGAGCGTGTGTGAACAGTGGGGTTGGACACAGTGACGAAGGTTGGGATGTTCAGGCGCCGATGCGGCATAGCCTGTTGAAGTGAACTTGCATCTGAACTGTGTTCTTGATTTCCATATCTCTAAGCTTTGATTGGGCGCCCTGCGCCAGTGTGAATCGCCATCCGTTTGCATGTATGTGAAGAGGGAGTGAAAGCTAGTCTGATTGCAACTCACACTAGCACTTTCCAAAATGCATCAGACCACAATTTCGGCCACACCTGTATGCATCAGACCGCAATTTCGGCCACACCTGGATGCATCTGGCCGCACTTCCGTCCAGAAGTAAGTAAAAAAGTCCCCGTGTGAGTATGCCCTCAATCAAGTGTGAAAGTGTGACGATGGAGGAAAGTATTTGAAATTTTACAAGTTCTTAACAGATGTGCTGAATAAAGTGGTGAAGTTTTGAAGTGACGCTGACTGTCATTTCTCATTTCTGCTCGTGTGCTTGCACTTCTTTGTACTTTGTTGTTTGTGTACAGGGGATGGGGACTTAACATTTTAGCCATGCTAAAACGGCTGAGATTTCATTAAATTTGTTGTCATGCTGTCCCTTGGTTTCACACTATTCTTGGCGCGACTACTTTCTTGATGCCTCGTTTACATGCTTGCTCAGTCTCTTCTCTCACGAACAGCCTAGATTCAAGGGTTGATGTGAAGTGATTGAGAAGTGCGAAGCTCAGGCCAAAGGTGTGGTAAGCCTGCACTCGATTCTTTTGGAAGCATCGAGGACTGGATGGACGGCCTGCCTATGCAGTAGGCCATCCTAATCTGTACTTCATCGCCAAGGCTTCCATAACCAAGAAGAAAGTGTGTGTGTGTGTGTGTGTGTGTGTGTGTGTGTGTGTGTGTGTGTG